GGCCAATGGGATCCTGGGGTGCATTAGGAGGAGTGTGGCCAGCAGGTCCAGGGAGGGTCTCCTCCCCCTCTACTCTGCCCTAGTGAGGCCCCATCTGGAGTACTGTGTCCAGTTCTGGGCTCCCCAGTTCAAGAAAGATGAGGAGCTACTGGAGAAAGTCCAGCAGAACAAGGATGATGAGGGCACTGGAGCATCTCTCCTACGCGGAAAAGCTGAGGGAGCTGGGCTTGTTCAGCCTGGAGAAGAGAAGGCGGAGAGGGGACCTTATAAATGCTTACAAATATCTGAAGATTGAGTGTCAGGAGGATGGGGCCAAGCTCTTTTCAGTGGTGCCCAGTGACAGGACAAGGGGCAACAGGCACAAACTGAAGCACAGGAAGTTCCAGCTGAACATGAGGAAGAACTTCTTCCCTCTGAGGGTAAGGGCCCTGGAACAGGCTGCCCAGGGAGGTTGTGGAGTCTCCTTCTCTGGAGATATTCAAGACCTGCCTGGACAAGGTCCTGTGGAGCCTGCTGTAGGTGACCCTGCTTCAGCAGGGGGGTTGGACCAGATGACCCACAGAGGTGCCTTCCAACCCCGAACATTCTGTGGTTCTGTGTGATCTCCCACCTCTCTAGAAAACCAAGTGACCAGGATCATTTCTATAACAATAACCTGATATCTAAGGTCAGAGAGTTGCAGCAGTTAAGAAATTGATTCAAAATGTACAAAAATAGTACCTGCTCAACTAATGTGCCAGAAAAAGTAGGATTGAGATTGAGAACTTGCAGTCCAGGGCTCTGACATTTAGTTACTCAATGTTGTTAATGGGAGGTTTATGATTTGTCAGAAGTCTTACTTCCTCCAGTGATCTGCTGCTGTGTCCCCCCCACTCCGGGGGGTGGGTGGGGTGGGGTGGTGGTGTCTCTGCACTCGTAGTTTGCTGGCTGGAAGCCCCCTTTAGCAGCCTGAGCCGAAGGTAGCAATCAGTAGTACAGAGCAGAGCCTTGTTTCCAGCAGAAAGCTTTCTCTGCGGGGTCATGTTAGATCCAGCTCTCAGCCCTCTCTTAGCATCTGCAGTAGGAGAGGTGTTGTGATCCTTCACTCTGTCTTTCCAGGCACCATACACACCAGGTGAATACAGTGTTGAATAAGTGACAGAACTTTGGATAGAGTTCCTTCAGCAGGGAAGGAATGGATAAAGGAACATACAAAATTACTCCAAAATGAAAAAAGTCTACCATGATTAGGAACAGAAGTGTTCCTTATCTCACAGTAACATCGAGACAGTTCTAAGCATTATCTTGGTGGTGATGCTTCATCTACCATGACCTGATAAATCTACCCACGAAATCTTTCATACCAGCCCAATGCATTAAAACCAGATGCACGGTGTAAGTGGAGGAATGCTGACAACACAGGAGGGACAACCACTACCACCCAAAAGCAGTGTAAGAGCTTAAGAAAACTCCAGATTTCAGTGAAAAGTTGATGGCAGTAAGGACAGTACCTGTCAGAAACCATACTGAAGACAAAAATAAAGATTTTTTTTTTGTTGTTTAAGAATACTGATGGAGCAAGTTACATACAACATCCCTTTCTTACAGATACCGGCCAAAAAAGTACACATAAGTATCAGACCACAGCAGAAAGTTACCTTCCCAAGGAAAGCGTCAACCACAAGCATTTATCCTCTATTTAGTATGTTTGTAGCAGTGGAGTTTTACAGCTTGTCAGAGTTATTACCAAGTTACACCTCGGCTTGTTCGTCAGCAGCATCTTTCCTTGACACAAACAAACACTTCACTGAATTGAAATGCAGAAATATTTATTTTGGTTTCCTTAATTGGTTTTGAAAATTGTTTTGGTTTTATAAAACATAGAAATAGCCAACACTAAGCAAACATTTGAATTCCAATGTAACAAACTACTGCTCTAACAGTTGACTTGGATTTGTGTACCTTAATTGCACACATGTAGGAAATTTTGCTACAGAGTAGTGCATTACAATCACACACAAATCTTAGTGCAAACCTCGTTGTGCTTGTATTTTACATATATCCATGTTTTCAAAGAACAGCAATAAATGCTAATGCAAAACCAACTCTGTTAAGGATAGCAAAAGACTTACGCTGTAATAAGGCTTATTTCTGCTGATTTCTCAAACAAAAGGTAATAGTTACTTTGTAATTTATCTGGGAATTAGGTTTTTATCCCTGAACAAACACCTATCCTGCACCGACACACACAGTTCTGTTGGCATATTTAAATACTTCCAACTGCTGCAAAGCATCAGGCAAAAACATTCTACCTGACCTATTTTGCTATTCAGTGAAGAATACTCCGTGGCTCATACATAAAGCACAGAAAACTAAAAGGTTATGTCAGAAGCTCTTCCCCTTAGAGAGGACCTGGCACATTTTAAAAATGCTTTTTAAACACAGGTTCATTACAAGGAAACAAGTGGCTAGTACAGGTGCAATGTTTACCTGACTGTTAGCATAGCCCAGCCTCCCGAATGGTTTTGGTTTTAGGTCTCTAGTGTTCTTGCCAGAGTTAGGATCTGCTCATTTACAGGGCTGGCATCCCTCTGGATTTGTGTTAACGTAGCAAAGGCCACACTTGCTGAATTAACTGCATCCACACTTCTAGTGCAGAACCGCCATACGCAGATTTACTCCGAGGAACTTGTATTAAGCAGACTCCCTCGTGTGGGGTTCTGACTTCTGCCTTACAGAAGTACATCTCTGAACTGGCTGCAGATAAAGAAGGGAATACAAACACTCAGCTGCTTTGCCCCAGTTAATATTAGGGCTAATCTAAGATGTGATACCAGCTACACAACCGCAGAGGGGTTTTTTGGTGGTTGGTTGGTTTTTTTTTTTCTTTTTTTGAACAGGTTAAGTAATCCTTCAGAGGATGCACAATACTTAGAGGCATTTTCAAACCTGCCAAATCCTTTGTGGAACTGACAACTGTAATATACACTGCAGACAGCAAACATGCTGGCAATAAGAAAACCTCAGCTCCTCTGTGAGGGAGAGTCCCATTTTTGGCCAAGGAAGTCTTAAATAACTTACATAGAGTTACCATTTATAGTTAAGGCTCTTTTTGGAAATTGTAGGTCACCATAAAAACAGTATGCAACACAACTTGACGGTAAGGCAGTGTTCCATTTCTTCTACGTTCCTATGGCAAGTACCCATTTTTGTACAAGTTAATGATTGCACAGTTTCCTTCCCTATGTTTGCTGTAGTCAAATTACAGATATGAAGGCCAACAGCAGACATCAGACACGTGCCACCTTCCTCATTCCATTCTCAGTTACATTTTGGCATTAGCATACAGTTCATTTATCTGTGACTGGAAATATTTTCTCAGTTCTGGCCTCTTCGCCTTCAGTGTTGGTGTCAGCAGGCCGTTTTCAATAGAAAACATTTCAGTGTGCATGACAATGTCTTTGACCTGGAAAATAAACAGTTACTAGCCAAGCTGCATTCCTTGGAACAGACAAGGCTATGAAAAAGATTGCCCAGATGTCATAACAAAGCCCACCACTTTAAAGATTTTCCAGACAAATTAAAACCAGTCTCTGCAGAGTCATACTATGTTGGTATTGAGAAATTTAAAGAATTAGGTGTTCAGTTCTCATTAGCATCTTACCTGTTCAAATGACTTCAGACCAGATTCTTTCCCAATCCTCACCATGTCTTCCAGAATGTGTTGTTTGAGGTCCTGTGGAAACAGGGATACATTGTATAGCTTGAAACAGCTGATGCGGAACAGCTAAGGGTTTAGTTAGATATGACTCACCTTATTTCTGCATAGCTCTTCATACGAGCCTTCAAATCCCTTCTTCTTGGCCCAGCTGCGCAAAGTCTCAGGATCAGGTACCACAATAGCTACTAAGAAGGCCTAAAAAGGAATTTTTGAAAAGAAAAAAAAGCTTGACAAAGTCAACACTTTAGTTCCTCCATGTTTCTTACCCGGCAGTGTTAGATTTGGGACAGGAGTTCTGCTCCTGCTGTGAAGTCAGCAGCTTTCTACTGCTTGAACACAGGAGTGCAGTTCAGAAGCTTGCACTTAAGAGAATTACTCCTGTTAAGACCCACATTTCTATTTACACTTGCAAAAGCCTGGACATCTTGGAAGCTTTTTAAAAAATTTTTTTAATTTTCCCTGCATATTGTTAGCAACTTGTGTACAGTCATTAATACTTAGTTAAATCAGTTAGTTCTGCTACCTGGTCTGAAACTAAACGCAGAAATGTGTTCTATAACCACTTGAGTTGGAAGCACATTCAGA